CCCCCCCCCCCTTTATTTATCGGAATATCGAAAAAAGCCTCACACACTTTGCCAGCCCATCATCTGCCGAGTGATGTTGTCCGGTTTTTCTGAGGACCGCGGTAACGCGGAGGCTGGTATATTATTAAGTAAAGTTAACACCATCAGTTTTGTGTTTAAAGGCTCGCGCGCGCCTGCCTAAGCAAAGTCTTTGAAAATTGTTTATTCTCTATACCTAATAAGCCTTACAATGATACATAATTTTCTGTGGTTTCTCTAAAAGTAGCGCGCGTAGGACGATTCATCCGGAAGGCAACTTATTTTGTCGACAGTAAACAATGATGCATGTAACATTTATCAGCTTTTAATGAGCACTACAGCTGGTTACATATGTTGTTATTGTAAAAAGTATCGAAGAGTCACCAAAAGAAAAAAATAAATGTGTGGTACAAGCGGCACAGAGAGACTAGAAAAACCAATTTGCATCAAAAACCATTGTTCACCTGTCGACATAGGTGTTAACAGTAGCGCTTTCGATGGAATAAGTCTACTGGTTTTCGCTACTAGAAAACCGCTGAAGGGTTGTGAACAGTATCTGTTCAGTACCAAAACGGTGTTATGGACGGTGTCTGTTCTGTAGGCTCACACCACACATTTGAGCTCTCTCGGCTTCTCAAAAAAGTGTGATTATAATATAAAAATCAACATTCGTTAATTAGACCACACAGTCAAGACGTAATATGTGGTATTCATTTAGTAGCAATAAGCATTGTATCATTCACTCTACGAAAAAGCATTATGCTGGAAAAAAATGAATGAAATGAAACTGGACAGTGTGGTAGCCAGCTTTACCCCGCAATGGAACCAAGTAGTTCTGGTAATGAAACCGAAACCAAGCGTTCGTGAATTTTCATGGACGGTTTGTGATACTCGTCAAAAGTAGACTGTACCTGTCTTGAACGGTTGACTGCGTCATTCGTGCATTTATTTAGCTGGTGATTACTCGACATCTGTATTTGCACACTAGCAAAGTAACAGGTGACTTTCTAGTCCTTAATCAGGATAAGGTCTTTCTTACGTGTCTGCCACACATGTCCACTTATCGTTAATGGCTATCACTAAATTACATGTTAAATATGATCCAAGGTTAAATAACCACACACTGCATAGCAGAGCAGAAAAAACAGTACTTAAGGGTATAAGAACAGTTGTCAATGGCTACTTGACAAAAGGTGCTTAAAATCAACCACCCAACTGTACCCTGAAGGTATACCGGTGCAAAGCAAACAAGCTCCTCCTCGTTTAGTACAGTGCATCATGTTCTACCACCTGCACAACGTTGTTGTTTCTTTTTTGTAAATGGTTGTTGACGAAACAATCGATAACCAAGTAATAATTATTGCAGTTTCTTAGATGTTACAAATAACTAAGTCATCAATATTTAAAGTTAGAGAAGTCTTGCCTACAATCAAACCCACCGGGCTTAGCTAAATCTTATTTCTAATCGTTATAGTGATTGACATTACCAAAAACTGTCTATTTTAAACAAAATTCTACGTATATTGACATGTACCATACAAAAACCACTTCCTCACCTTCCAATTTTCGACTACATATGTTAAAATAATTTTCTAAACCAGAATTAAAAAATATACCCCGTTAAACATTACGGTCGCTACAAAGTGAAGTGTTTAGACTTGAAGAATTTAAGGAAAAATATCTACAATCGAGCTGCAGGTTGTTCTAGAGGAGAAAGCTACTTGTGTGCAAGGCTACCTTTCCGGTTTATCTATTTATTTATCTATTTATAAACTATGTTGTGAAGCAGATTAAATGCAAAACAACTATTGACGTTCACATCTTAAATTACAAAAATGTATGAGTAAATGATTAGCCAAGACAAAAAACCAAACGTTAACATTGTGAGTAAAAAAAAAATTACGGTGTTTTAACATGATTTTTTTTACAAAGAAACAAATCGTAAGTACACGTGCTTCTTATCTAAAATTCTTGTGGTGTTATAAAAATACATCAAGCACAATCTATCCTACATTGAAACAAATATTTATGCCTGAGGAAAAATGACTGAGAAACACGACAATTAACTACTAAGGCTACGATTACCATTATTTTACGACACAACCGCAGCTCTTCTAACGTTTCCTGACTCAGTTAAAACTAAAATCCCGTCTCGTTAGTTGCCTCTGCACTGTCACCTGTGTTCCCAGCAGAGGATTCCTTTTCGTTGCCAGCGGCAGTATTGTTGACAGCTGAAGTGGTACTGTCGTTGGGAGGCTCAGCACCTGTGTCGTGAGGGTTTCTCTTCAGAAACTGGGTGATGTCAGCATACTGTGTTTCAGCATAAGCCTCCGGCAGTTTGATCGGAGGCAGGGTTTTGGGGGAGGTGGATACTTCTGGCAGTTTCTGCATGTGATGGAATTCACCCAAATCAGCGTAAAGAACTTCACCCGGCTTGGGCTTCTGCGGTTAAAAACAAAAAAGATAATGTTGACCCCCTGAAAATAAGTGTCGTTTCCCACCTACTGCAAGATGAACGGAATGTTTATGATTCGAGAAAAATAATCTATCTCATGTAAAAGGTATTAAATAACCATTAAAATTTAATGACTCGAGATAAAATAACACCATAGAACACTAAAGAAACTTCGGAAGAAAACTGGGGTAGTTTCAAGTTATGTCTATTTAAACAGGAGCGGGGAAGAAGTCAGACGGAAAAAAAGGATACAATGTAGGGCTGCCTACAATTTAGCAAAACAAAACAGATAAAAACAAACTGCCTACGTAATTAAACAGATAACAACTCAAAGGACAATAATTGGCCGAAAAACCTTTTTTGATTTATTTGACATGTCGACTTCAGCGTAAGTGGCGTCCGGTTCGTTCTTCTTCTTCTTCTTTTTTGACTTGTCCACGACAGCGTACTGATCTTCAGTTGGCTTCTCTTCAGCAGCTTTCTTATCTTTCTTTTTGTCTTTCTTCTTGGACTTGTCCACCAAAGCATAGGTAGGTGTTGCCTCACCACCAACTTCTCCGAGCTCTTGTTCAATTTCTACTGAAGGCTGAGGTCCAGCATTGGCATAACCACTATTCACTTCTGCACATGGATTACCCTCTGACACGGTGCCGGGATTACTGGAACTGACAGAGTGGTGCATGTCAGTGCAATGTTAACATAAAAGTACACAAAAAAAATTAGTTTTTAGGTATCATTAAATCCAACTTCGACTGTGAAAATATTCCTTTCACCACTCACATTCCCTTCTCCCTCAGAAGAGAACATGAATTTACAATACCTAAAGTTAACAGCGCTATTTACAGGGAACATGACTGCCGACGGTATGCGTGAGACGCGACCCCTCCACGTTTGGCCCAGGAGTAGCAGTCCAATTAGGCTGAGATAAGTTAAAAAATAAATGAGACCCTATAAGGACCCGACTGAATAAAAGACGATCGTTTAGTGCACTGGTTGAAGCACAAGTATAAGCATCCTCCATAAACTATTACATCACGAGAAGCGGTAAGACGGGGCGTTTTTGAGGGGATGGTTATCACAAACTTGGTTTAAGGAGGAGGGCCTTTAAAGAGTGAGGCTTATCACTGCTTAAACTTACGATATTTTTACTATTTTACGTAAAATTACGAAATTTGTGTGGAGACACGCTCTCTTAAACATTTTTCGTTCTCTTATAACACCATATCAAAATTATGGTCTGATTGCTTGGGGCCAAGCGCGTAAATCGAACTTTGACAAGCTTCTTAAGCTCCGAAAACGTGCTCTCCGTTTTCTGATCGCAACGAGCATGAAATTCCTCTATTTACTGATGCCGGTGTTTTACCGTAACAATTCTTCTACAATGAACTTACAGCCAATTTGATCTTTGACATTAGACATAGAAATGCACCTTGCGGCATTCAAGAACTCTTCTATGATATTTCTGAGATCCATTCTTATCAAACGCGATCTTCTGCTTCTAAAAACTTTTATAAACAAAGCTCTAGACTATCAATTCGACTACATTCTTACTCCAGACTTAGAACAAAAGTTTTGAATGAGATGCCCTTAAAATTAAGAAATCTTTCAGAAAATTAGTTCAAAAAGGCAATGAAAAGAAAACTCTGACATTCTCACTTTAGAAGACTCTTATATTGACACTCAACAAATCATTCAAAGGGTCAAGCTTTCCTGAAATGTTTTAACCGAGTCTAGCATGTTATTTTTAGCTGCCACAATGTTATATCCTTAGTTAGTCCCGAAGTTAATCTTTGAAAAAATGACTCGTTACTCAACTGCCTTTGAAATCATGCGAACATTTGTTCTAATACGAACACCTCGCCAATAAATCTCCCTCTTCTATATGCTCCCCGTCTAGAAGCCCTGGTAATGAATTCCCCCTCCCCCCTCCTTCCGCGAGTCCAAGAGGACCGTGAACGATAAAATTGGAGTCGAATGGGAAAAAAAGGAACATTTTTTTCATTTCTTTTTCTTTTAATTACAGGGGCATAAGTTTGAATTACTTACAATGCCTGCCGCTCGTCGGTCTCACTGTGAACTAGAAAATTAAAAACAATAAAGTGCCACATAATAATCTTTAAAGTTAAGTTTCGTAATTCCTATTCAAAATCAATTTTTATAGCTCCTTTGCTTCCTTTTCGATACATGACTGTAATTTATCTACACATGGCCAGCTGCATTAAGGTAACTCTTCCGCCCAAGATAACCGTGAAAATTTGCCAATTATCAAATTGAAGTCTCAAATTAATATCTAGCAACGCCGTCAAACCTTGGAGGAGGTATCAACGGTGACAAAGCTGCAACTGGTTTTTACTCATGACCCAAGGTAACGAAACTACCCTTTAACTTACTTCGCAGCAAATCATTACATCAACCGACGACGAAATAAAACAATGCAACATTCTAAGATGCAAAAACAAAAAA